GCCGGCACGCGGGACTCGCCGTGACCGAGCGCTACTCTCCCCCGCTTCTTTCCGAGCCAATGACTTGGAACCGGGGTCGGTGCACCCTGCCGCCCTCTCCAAACAAGAACAGAAACGCGAGATGTCACACAGAGAGAGAAAAAATCGCGAAAAGTTGAAGGGAGGGCATATTTTTTCCGCTTCCTCGCCTTCCCAGTGAAAAAATTTTGAACATAAAAAAATGATAAGAAAACGGCAGGAGGGGATTGCAGGTAGCGGTGCAGACGGAACTGATTCGGTGTCAAAGTCCTTAAAAATTGCGAGGTTTCGAGTCAAACTCGTTATACAGTCAAATGAAAGTCGTAAATGTGCGACGCGGATGGTCTGAATCCGGAGTGACAAGCTGCTGTTCATAGAAAGATACGGAAGTATGGAGGCGAGTTGGTTAACCTTACCCCATCACCTAACTCTATAACCCATCCCGCGGGGGTATATGGCATCTGCTAAGACAGTGGTTCTCAAACATCGATGTTTAGCGTACGCCTTGGAGATAGGGGGAGATGGTGGAGGACCCCGTTCAGGGTGATGGGAATAGAAATGTATACGTTAATCATAATAATAATTGATAAATGAATATAACGATTTGCTAATATAAAGTAGACTTATCTCATTGACATACAGTCGAGAGAACTCACCCGAAAATTGGAAAGTTTCTTCTCAATGTGAAAAAAGAGAACTTTTATTGCTGGGCTTGACCGATGAGACAGGGCTCCGCGGGCCCCCATTTGAGAACCACTGCGCTAAGACACTCACGGGCGCTAATTGTTTTTTTTTTTCTCTTTAAATAAATACTTTTTTTTTACCAAAAACAAGACGAGTTGGTCAGAAAACATCATAGCGCTGTGCTGTCAGTTCCTTTATTTCTTAGTATCTCATGGTTCACATTATGATGCTGTCTATATCTCTACGCTAAAAAAAAGGAATACGGTTACAATTTTCAGGGCAATTTGGGTGTTTATTAATGTGGAGTCAAGTTAGGTGAAAAAAACCTGACGTGTTGAGACAAAAGTGCGAGCACTCGCCGATCTTGACTTTGGACCATTACGAACCTTTCGTAAAATCCGGTTGGGGTCGAGAGTGAAAACATGCATCGTCAAGACAACGAATAAATTGAGTGTTTCTGGTTGTGCTCTTTTTGAAGAAAATAATAGAAGGTCGAATTAAAAAAAGCCATCGGAAAAAAGTGCGACGTCACCGTCAGAGCTAGGACGTGCGTTTATTCGCCTTTGCGTAGAGACGTTTCCAAGTACGTCCTCTGGGCGCCGGCATCTTGTTGCTGGTGTGGAACGGGAGCGAAAACCAATTAAAATAATTTATTAATTTATCAATTGTTGAAATTATTACCTTTTTACGTGCCTGAAATGTATTAGGCGTTGACCGAGTTGTTCGAGAAAAGAATATATGTTGGCAAAACATGTCATTAATTTAAGTCATTCTGGAAGATTGCAGAGTAACTTTAGAGATGCAAGAAGCAAACATGTCTGAAAGGGCCAAAGGCATAACCATATTACATAAAGACGTGGAAAGAGCTTCTGACATAGTTGAAACCGAAGAAATAAGTCTGACAAACCTAATAAATTTAAGCTAAAACCCCAGGTGATAAAAATCGTGTTATAAAAAAGAAGGCGAGTGTTCCAGCCCGGGCCGTTTTATAAAACGCAATATTTTTAATTAAAAAAAAAACAAAAAAAAAACACGGTGTAAATGTTTCGGGAGGTGGGTATGCGCTAGGTATTAAAACAAGAACATTTTCGTAAGTTGCAACACGGGTGTCACTCAAACAGATAAGCAAACTTCAGGTGCCAATCAAATATAAAAAAAAAAAAAGGAATCAGGAGTCATGTATTGTAGCCTGACTTCTAAAAATGAGAAACCAGTTAGTCAGCGAGCCGCTAGCATCAGCTTGCATCAATTAACAGAAAAACTCAGTTTTGAATAGAAGTGCTGATACGACGTGTTAGGCAGTGGCCCAGTTCGTTTCTCAGCGAGCTGCATAACTTCCGCAAAATGTTTGTAGTTCAATGAAAAAAAAAAATTCATCAATAAAAAAGTTTACTGTTTTTTAACAGTTCGACTAAAGACCGGACTATTAAATGAAGGACCAAAGGGTCTTGTGTCGCTAGGAACTTGAAGACGAAGAAATGTGTCGTCTTAAGTGGCCCCAATATAAAGCACGTCGTTGCAGGCGTTTCCAGGGCCTCTTCGTGGTACTCATTGCGAGTCACACGAAGGCTGAAATAATTGCAGCTGGAGTCAGGCTGGGGAATAAAAATCAACATGGTTTAAATCATTATATAAATCATGATTTAAATCGTGATTTAATAGACCCCTTCCGAAATTCAGTCTGGCCACTTTGATCACTATCATCATCTGTGGAACGGCATCTGTGCCATACCAATGGCGGCCTTCTAGTGACTGATAAAGCAAGACGTTGAAGAAGCTCCGAAGCGGATCTTGGGAGGCCTGCATATTCGGGGGGTCTGTACGACGCGACGTAGGAATGGAACACAAGAGCTACGTAAGCGTTTATTTCTAATAACTCAGATCCAGTCAATCTGTGGGCGGCACACAATCGGCTTTAAAGCACTTTGGTGTATAAAATTTTCTCGAGGCATCTGAGTGGGTTGGAGCTTAATTCTGAATGCAGGTTCTTGGTCACCATCGAACTGAAAGTGATTGAGAAAGAACTCACACTGAACAATTCCTCGCGTGCCGTTGACTTGCGATTGTGACGGTGCCGATACAAGTTCATTTCCGCCATTGATATGGCAAAACCTAAACTGCTTTACACACCACCAGATGGCACTGAATTTTGGGAAGGGTCTATTCAGACCAGTTTTACTGGACTTAAATCGAACCTTTATTCCCACAAAAATAATTCAGAAAAAAGGTTTCTAGTTATTGTTTGTCTATCCTTTGATGCTCTCTATTAGCATTTGTTTCGTGCTAAAATAAAAATAAAAAAAAATTATCAAGCAACCAAGATTTGTATCACGATAAACGCGAGAAAACAAGTATTGTTCCTCTAAGCAAATCTGATGGTTGAGCTTTCTTTCTTCCTTCCAATTCCTTCGCCAGTTAGTTAACGATCTATGGCACGCAAATCAGAGCGGAAAAAGCTAACGAAAACAAATCAAGCTGTTTGGGTTCTAGTTTTGCGAGGGTTCATTAATATAAATTATGTCATTAATGTGTACTTTAAATTCACAGTAATTCTTTCTTCTGAATTGTTATCAGTGATCGGATGGATCGATCAATCAATCTTCCGTGTTTAAAGAGTCACTAGTTTCAAGCTGCAGTGATTTAGATAATATGACTCTGAATTAAATAAATAAATCCGAATTAAATCATAAAAACCTAATCTATTTTATTACAAAAGAATTTTTTTTCTCACCCTGGCAGGACTAGCACTTCACAAGGCGTCTAACACTGTGGAAACTGCAAAGATTTTTATTTTTGTATTTCTAAGGAGAATACGCGAAGCCTTTAATTAATCCCATGTCTCCAGGTTCCGAAATGTCTTCTACTTAAAGGGACCATAAAATAAAATTTCAGCTGAATTAAATTTGGAATTTACTAATCGCATATCGTTTGGTGCGCGAAAAAAAAAAAAAAAAAAAAACTAGTACACGCGAGCGTAGAAAGCCTAAAGCCGGTTTTTCGATACGAAAGTTTGAAAATATAGCGGACTATTTCGTACCTCCTTTCCTTCGAAAGTTGAGCGCTTTTTTACTATGATGCGTCCGCGGTGCCCAAACACGTCAGCCGACCCCAGCTCACGCATTAGACATAAGCAGTGCGTCACTCGGACGTATGCGATCAACTCGTCGACGAATATTTGAACCCGCGTTCGTGGCCAATGAGTGCCTTGACGGCGATTATCACCACTTGAGAATGACAAGTTCCATGGTGTGCTTAAAGAGCTCGGTGGAAGCATGGAGTCATCGCCTCCGGTTCCCAAGCACGGCACGACAACCTGATTTCTCATTTCGTTTTTGAAAGCTAAGGAGGAAGGCGTTGAAGAATAATTTCATGGTCCTTTTAATGAATGGCGGAAAGCGATTGTGTGGCACTTCAAAGTTTAAGATGGAGCGAGAGTTGGAGATTAAGAGTGATTTTGGTATATTCTGCAGCACCCTAATGTGTCAAAGAACCGAGAAAAATAAAGATATAAGGAGCGTTTGAAACAGATCAGCTTGCTAATTAGATATTTGATCATCTGGTGTCTAACAGCATGTCGCGGTCTTGTAACAGCCTGGCCGGCGCTGTATTCCTCGTGTTCCCGCTCCCTTCTTGAAATGTGTGATATGTTTAGTGAAAACTGCCAAACTGTTTCTAGCAAAAATATAATAAGGAACTATTTTTTTTTGCGTATGGCAAAAGTGTCACTTGAAGCGTAGTTTAATATTTGTTATATCAGTTATACCGTAGAAGCCGTTAGACTACATGATTATCTATTCATTCCAGTTTAAAATTCGCTACTGAGGAATAAAAACACGAAGCCAGATGAGCATGGGAGAAAGAAATCAGTAAATAAAAAGAACTTCCTCACGTTTTAGGCGTGGTTACTTTTTTGTCGACAATAACAACGCAAAAAACCTTTTCTCCCTAGTCCCAATTCTCGCTTTGTCCGCCGACGTCGTCAAAGCAGGAACGATCAATCAACCAGCTGCGTCGTCAATCTAGTTGGCGCTTTGCATTACCAGGCAGACTTCGACGACCCTAGCTCTACCAGGCATGCCTGAACCTGAGACAGGGGAAAAAAAAAGACGCGTAAAAATGAGGGCCAACGCGCAACGCGTTCTGAGACGACGTGCTTCCTTTTACACATCTTCCGTTTTCTTCCCTGTCTCGGGTAAAGTTATGCCCAAGTTTTTCCCCTTACTCTTCTTACTAGTTCTACGTGGATGACGTTTCCCTCAAAGACCGTCGCTACGCGCGAAGTGCTCGAGAGAACTCACCGATCAGTCGACGTCCGGTGCGAAGTGTTGGCGACGGGCGGCCGATTCTGGACACATGCTCCGTGTCGGACGGCCCAAAGACGACCACGGCGACGGAATACCTGAGAGCGAGCACCGTCACCGGTGGTGGTACCGGGGCCCCCCCGTCCGTGCACGGTCGATATCGTCCGGGCAACAGAGGGCGCTGTAACAGCACCCCCCGGAAACTAGGGAGTCTAGACTTAAGAGAGGGAGCGACTCGAACCACGGGTAAAGTTTGCAATTTAATGGCGGACACGTCGCGTGCAAGTCGGGCTGCTAACACGCGTGCGTGCGTCGCCGCTTAGTGAGACAGATAGTGGGTGGAGAGGCTTAGGAAAGCCACGGGGACGCCTCCTGCTCGCAGCTTGTATTGGAAAAGCGATCCATGAACCACGTGACCCTGATCGTACGCTTGGAAACACTCTCAGATCTAGGCGGACTGCCGGAGACAACCGGGGGTGGACGGTCGCCTCTGGCACGGGTCTGTTGACCTAGACGTGCGACACGCCAGCGAGCGCATGTGTCACCCAAATTGTTGCGTTAGGGCCCGCGATACACGCCACACATCACGGAGTGTCAAGGCTGACGCGAGGAAACTGGGTTTATGGGGCATTAAACTTAACCGGATCCGGTCTAGTCGGGTCAACGATGGCTGGTTGGATGCCTATTTTAGGAAGTTATTCAGAGTACTCAGGTGAGCTCTGGCTGTACCAGGAATAAATAATCGTGGCCTCGCGAAGCTGTCGGTTTAATCTCGACGAAGTAGGGCGGCTGGTTTTGTGACAAGAATACACGGGAGCAACAAGAAAGTACGTCGACATGGTCTACCCCAACGGTAGACCCTGTCGACGTACCAAACGACTCACAAATTCCGGAGTTGGTATTGTCAGAAAGTGGTATATTTAATTTACTCTTGACTATAAACGATAAAAGCATCCTGGCTAGACAATATCCCCAACACATTTCGGAGACGATATGCAGAGTGGGCTTCGCGGTATTCATACTTAATTTTTCAAGCGTCCCTTCTTCAGAGCAAGTTACCAAAAGACTGGCTATGTGGGAAAATTGTGCCCATTTACGTGTCCGGAAACAAGATGGACCTTCAAAATTATCGCCCGATATCCTTAACAACGACATGCTGCAAAGTTTTAGAGCACATAATTTCTAAACATATAAATAAATACTTAGAGGAAAATAACTTACTGTATGAACACCAACACGGGTTTCGGCAGGGTCTTTCGACCCTGCCGAAACCGTGCTAGAGCGCACACATGAGTTTGCATCCGCAATAAACGAACAAAGTCAGGTTTACGTAATATTTATGGATTACTCCAAAGTATTTAACGGGTACCCCATGACAAATTAGTACACAAATTATACTTATTGCGATTAAATCAGGTTTGATATCTGGGATACATTCTTATTTAGAAGGAAGAATGCAGTATGTTAGCTTTAATAAAGTTTGCTCTCCCCCGTTAGCAGTTTATTCAGGAGTACCCCAGGGGTCAGTGTTACGGCCACTTTTATTCTTAATTTATATAAATGATATAGCAATAAATTTCCCTCCCTCTGTTTAAGTTAAATTGTTCGCAGATGATTGTATGGTGCTTTCAAAAGTGGATACACTTCAGGACCAGGAAATTCTCAACCAGTCCCTGGAAGAAATCTTGTGGAGTGAGAAATGGGGTATGGTAATTAACTTTGATGGAACTGTCTCTTGCTGTATTACAAATAAAAAAAGGTCTTAGCCTTCCGCTATTCTATAGGCGGCACTGAACTTAGTAAAGTAGAAGAATTTAGGTATTTAGAAGTTATTTTAGCTAATACCCTGCACTAGAATCGTCATGTGAATTACATATGCGCCAAGGCTTATCAGAAGTTAGGCTTTCTTAGAAGGCATCTTAGACATGCAAATAGAGATTTAGATTAACTGCATATAAACGTTATGTACGTCCAATTTTAGAATACGCGTGGTGCGTATGGGACCCATACAGGAAGTAGCAGGTTGCGCAAATTGAACGGATACAGAATATGGCACTTCGGTTTGTTTTTTCTGAGTATAGACCCTTTCAGGCAACATTTCATGGGCGCCGCCATCTTGACGTCACGTGACCCTGCCGCCATAGCCGCCCTTCAGTTTCTCGCCGTTCCTCCGCGTTGTGTGCTGCACCGGCAACTACCGAAGCTTTGTTTTCGCATTCTTTTACGTTACACGTTGAAATAGTGTGTTTTCTTTAGGTCTTTTCGATATTCCAGGGTTTCATCTAATCATTTGATATCTATATTTCAAGATAGTTCTTGTATTTTCTTATTTATGAAATGGAATCGGACAGTGAATGCATCGACGGTACAAGATTATGAAACTTCAATGACCATGTAAGTTCATCCCATTCTAACGTTTTTCTCGCTAATAAAGAGCAGTCAACACCATTGCGACATATGCAAATTTCAACTGACGCAGTAAGGCTATCGCAGTCGTGCTTCTCGCTGCATGTGCGCGCTCGTTTCTGTAAAGCCGACCCGCATGCAAGCGATTTAGCGTGCGACGAGACGAGCGACGGCGACAGCCACGAGAGTCAGCGACGAAGATTTCTCACTGTCACCTGTTGGATCGTCCGGTTTTTTGGGTTTCTAGAAAACGTCGCTCACCGTCTTGGTCGCTTGCTCTTGTCGCTTCCATGCGGTTTGCCTCGTCGCGCGACTGCCCGAGCGACAGCGACGCGGGTCACCGTCGCTTGTCTCGTTGCTCGCCGAATCGCTTGCATGCGGTTTATATTTAATATCGAGGCTCCAATGGTTCAATGGTGTGTGCATCGAAATTAATTGAGTATAAACCGCATGTAAGCGATTTGGTGAGCAACCAGATAAGCGACGGCAACCCGCTTCGCTGTCGCTCAGTCAGTCGCGCCACGAGGCAAACCGCATGGAAGCGACGGAGCAAGCGACCAAGACAGTAAGCGACGTTTTCTAGAAATCCCAAAACCGTGCGATGCGACGGGCGGAAGTGAGAAATCTCCGTCGCTCGTCTCGTCGCACGCTAAACCGCTTACATGCGGGTCGGCTTTAAGGAAACGAGCGCGCACATGCAGTAAGAAGCACGACTGTGATAGCCTTACTGCGTCAGTTGAAATTTACATATGCCGCAATAGTGCTGACTCCCCTTTATTGGTGACAAAAACGTAAGAATGGTATGAAGTTTCATAATCTTGTATCGTCGACCCATTCGCTGTCCGATTCCATTCCATAAATAAGAAAATACAAGAGCTATGTCGAAATATAAATATCATATGATTACATGAAAGTCTTAAATATCGAAAAGACCCAAAGAAAATACAAGATTTCAACGCGCAACGTAAAAGAACACGAAAACGAAGCTCCGGTAGTGGCCTGTGCAGCACACAACGCGGAGGAACGGCCAGAAACTGAAGGTCGGCTATGGCGGCCCCGAAAGCGCGCGAAGGGCGCGCCGACTGGTGGCAGTTCGAGTAGTCAGTTACGGCAATGAGAAATGAAGTGCGGTTTGACTGTTTAGAGAAAAGAAGGAAAGTGAGTAGATTAAAGGAATTATATGCTGTGGCTAATGGCTTGACAACGTTTAATCCTGAACTGTACATTTTACCTTCCTCATCACGCTCCAAAAGAACGAGCAATACTAAAGCAATTGCACCCTACCAGTACAGGAACGATGTCTTTAAATACTCTTTCTTTTGTTGAACTAGTATTGAGAGGAACACACTGCCAAAGCAAGTTGTCAATTGTTGTAGTCCTGAATTATTTGAAGCACAGCTTAATGAATTGTTTAGTTAAGTTTTGCATGTGGAAATGTATATCTTGAGCATGCGTGGGTAGCTAGAACCTACCTGCGTTCGCTTCACACGGTGAGTGCATGATTGATTTCCTTATTTTCTGTGTGTTGTGTTTTTTCACTCCTGTGTAGACCAACAGGTCTACAGTATTTCAAATAAATAAATAAAAGAACAGGACGATACATCTTTCTTGCCGGTAAAATAATTGTGTGTATGTTTAGTCAGCCTCAGCGGGCGTATGGTGTCTCAGCTGTAGATGAGAAATTTAGACAGTGCAGTCTTTAACGTGCATCACGCAGTACTGACGACCGCACACCGGTACGATACTCATTCAGGTCGAAACGGGCAGGGGTGAGGATTGAACCCAGTATCCCTCGATTCTGCAGTGCGCGCTTTCGCTCCATGCGATCCAAGGTGCGGTGCATTAACACACTCGGCCACTGCCCCCTTTTCCAAATGGTAGCGTAAGCATATATTTAGAGCCCTGCCTGTCCGCAGATATCTGCAGTAAACTAGCGGGTACAGATAAAAATGAATCAATTTGGCGAGTTGCGGATCGGATGAGGATATCCGCGGGTCCTGATCTACATTTTTGCCGAGGCGGCCCATAAGCATGTGCAACCGCACAGTGTAGAGTGTATAAGTGAGGAATATTATGAAGCGCATCTTCGAATGTTTTGCGTGAGCAAACTACTCCATCGGACAAAAGGTGCCAATCGAGGAGAAATTTGTTTTAGAGTGCGGCTCTAATGGCGCGTTCACACTGGAAGCGGATCCGCGTTCGCGAAGCGGATCCGCGCGTTCTCAACCGCAAAGCGGCTGGGATCGAGCGGTTGGAGCGCGTTTTTGCCAACCGCTTCGGGACCGATTTCTCCCAACCGCCTTCACGAACCGCAAAGCGGCAACCAATCACAACGCGACGCTGACGTGACGTCAGTGACTTTCAAAACAAGATGGCACCTGTCGCTGGTGAGGCGTCCAAGGCGCTGTAGTCCTAGCGCTGTAGTCTTAGCTTTCGACAAATCAACGGAGAAACTTGATGTTCACGTCCGTCACTTGTATCCGCCGCGAAAAGAATTGACTCGTAACTTTAACGGGCTTCGCACCGGTGATTTGGTTCGGGTAAGAGTTTGTTTATTATTCCGGGTGCCACAGCCCAAGCTCGCTGCCTTGTTAATCTCTGCCCGTAGAACGTCGGAACCCGCTCCTGATCGACCAATATGTCAACATTTCTACCCACTAGGATAGTCGCGTGAACTACTGAAAGCTTTCGACATGTGCATGACCACCACGAAGGCCGATAGAGACGT